TCATAGTTTCTGGCTTTTGGTGGCACAGGCAAGGCTGTTAGTCGGGGCTTAGGAATTGTGGGACTAGTTGTTTTCGACTACTTACTCAACGGCCAGTCCACTGGCATCGGGATGGGCCTGGACGGCGGCCAAAGAGACCACCAGTAGCGTTGACAGCTGAAAGATAAATGGTGATTTTCAGTATTCCAATGTCGTAATGGTTCATAGAATGCGGTCAAGAGCCTTGCAAAAGTCTCTCCCTAGTTAATTTGCATAATTTCTTTGGCATTTCTTAACTACCAAAGCAGAAAAGTGAGAGCCAAGCCGGGAGAAGAATCTCCCAGGTACGGTCTTGAATTTTTCCCCCCAACAAGATGCCCAAATATTTGACTCACTCCTCCGGCAAACACACGCCGTTTCCCGCAGCCACCACGGGCGTTTGGCAAAGTCAATATTGACGCAACCGTTAGCCGGTAAAACGCCCATCTATCAAAGCTGAAATGTCACTAAGCCGGGAACTCAAACACGGCTGGGACCGGAGCCAAAGCTGATTCCGATTCCGAAACCCAAGCTGGGGCTCGTGTTGTGTCATTGACCTGAACCTCTAGGCGTCTGTTACGATTTCGGGCCAAAGCGTAACTCGAAAGAAAAAATCAATACATACGTTCTGGCCAGAAGAGGCTGTCGAACTTGGTTGTCATTGATTTGCAAGATCTCTTGCATCGCCAAGATGTATTTCTGTCCGTCTGTCTGTTGGCTTTCTTTTGTCTGTTCTTTTATTATATTGCCAGCTATAATGAAACCTGTACGACCCCAGATCGGGTGTGTCTTGTCCAAAAATAAACTGGGTTAATGGCTCGAATGCAAAGTTTAAGCGCAGCATTTTATGTTCTCAAACGAGATGTAAATGGGTATCAGGTCCGCTCAGGTGTCTTGGGTTGATATGATATTCCTGACCTAATTGAGCTGAGATTGATGGACTTCGGGCCCTGGAAGTGTGGGACTACAACCATCAATTTATTAATTTACGAACCCCTATCACAACATTGACAGAAACTCAAAGAACAAATGAATGCACTTCTAGTTTATGGAGCTGTGATTCTATTTTTATATTTTTTTTGTGAAGCCCCCCACACCAATGTCTTTGATTGTTCTGGGTGGGGGCCCAGAAGAAAGAAGGAACACTTTTATTGGCATTTGTTAGCCCACGCATGATTTTCTTACGTTTGTGGCATATTAATTTTTATTTCTTCGAGTCATAATTAATTTTTGGGCTTTTCATTGTAAGTGTTTGGATTGGTTATGGTTATAATTGAATGGTATTGTTGCTTATGAGCAAGGTGCTGACGCATTTGGACTTTTAAGGGCATGTATATTAATATTTTCTTTGGGTGGGGCGATGAATAATGCAAGGGATAATCCGGCCAAGGCTATAAATTAATCATTCTCACTTTTTAAATTCTAGGAAGAGAGGAAGTTTTTTCACTTTTAAAGGCTATAGAGTATTAATTGAATAGAATTCTTTAAGCAGTCTTTACAAATACTCTAAAATCTCTTTCTTAAAATTCAATAATCAGTTCTTTGCATTTAAATTGATTTTTGATGACCATAATGCCCCTTAAAGGTTAGCCAGAATATTTGCATATGGCACAGGCCATAATTAAGGCTAATATCCGCGGTCAAGAACTGAGCAAAGAACCAATAATGTCGCTTAGTGAAAGTTCATTTCAATTCCGAAGTGAAAGAACGAAAGACTTAAGGCACGAACTTGGGCCACTTGACGAGATAATGAGTTCAACGGCAGCAAAGTGTAATAAATAATTAATTGCGGTCAGGTCCAAGCTAGTTTCATTTCAATTTCTCAGAAACCCGAGATGTTTAGACACTAATTTCGTTTTCTTAGTTCTACTTACAGCAAAGAAGCGCATTTTGAAAGTCGCTTTAATAGTTTTCTTCAATATTCTTGGCTCTGGGTAGATCCTTGCCTCGTTTAAATATCCTTGAACTGAAAACGAGAAACCAACGTTATCACAAAATCACAAACACTGCCACTTAAAAGCAATCCTGTAGGGCTTTTAATTTTCCATTGTTTCTGGTCTGTCTTGTTTCTTTATATTCTTTTCTTTCTTTTTTTTTTTGGTTAAGAACACGGAACAGGCTGAGGAACTTGAGGACTTGAACTGGACACACACTCACACACACCTGCTAGTAGACCCTGTAGATGGCCAAGAAGAACCAAAAGCCAACAAGCCAGACGGCGACTGAAGATGAACTGAGTGTGGCCGGGCCCAGCGCCTCTGTTTATAACATTTCCATTAGCGATGCAAACGACAGCGGTATGGCCAAGAAAACAGGGCCCGAAGAGAGAGTTGGGCTAAGAGCGAGGGGCCGAAGAGAAACCCGAGATCCCAGCACGTACTTCAGCGCCTTGGCCTGGCTTTTATCTTGGAGCGTGAATCTGTTAGCTGGATAGCTGGGATTTTAGGGTACCAGAGCTCCAATTGATATTCAGGCTTCCTCTAGCTCTAGGATTGGAATCTCCGTCTGGTATCCGCCCATGGCTAACACTCTGAGCATACTTGCTCGCACTTTTTGTTTCAATCTAACAAGTTAAGATGTGCTGACAGAGGCTACTCCACGCTACCGCTTTTCTTCTGTCCAGAATCACCAGAGCCACTGCTGACGTTGATTAATTGGCCATTTATTGGCTTGATTGAGTGTGACTGGCCATTACAAGTGGAGCTGCGAAAGGTGCGTGTGGGAAGGTAGCTGAGAGGTAATCAGCTCGGATCTGGCCAGAACATGACATAAGCCAAAATGGCAAACGACTTAAAACACACGCTCCCTTACCTGATGAATGAATCGAATCAATTGAAATGTTTGCCTGAAACTCGTTAGAAAGTTTCCAGCAGAAAGAAAGAACCCCGAAAAAAAATTGAGCTCAAGTTCGAGTTCTCTGATTTGACAACTTCACACACTTCTCAGGTGTCCGACCATGTTAGATTTGGCGGTTGTCCCTCGGGCAATTCTTGATTTTCAGCAACAAAATCCCTACATTATATAAACAATTCAGTAAGAGTCTTAAGACATTAAAAATAAATTGAAAATAAAAGAAATTTTTGTGGTCTGAAAGATGTTCTAATTATTTATAAAGGATTTAACAAACAAAATCTATAAACTGATTAAAATACCTGTTTTCTTTTTAAAAATAAATATATTTTTAAAGAAATTAGAAATTAGGGCAATAACGACAGCTAAAATACAAAAACTAGAACACAAAAAACTTGGATATATTCAGAAAATTATCAATTTTTAAAATCGCCACATCGCACGTCGGAAATTGATTTCCTTTCCGAGTTCGTGCTCCAAGTCATTTGTTTTCTCCGCCCGCAAAGATCTTTATTGGCCCAAAACCATTTATTTTCTTTTTGTACAGAACTACAATTTAAATCTTTATTGGTTTTCTGCCGCCCAGCAGGTCAGCTACTGATTTTAGCTGCGGGCGAAAATAATGCATATTTATTGATTATTGTTGCACTCAAGTCCCAAACCCCCGACCTTTGTGGCACACGCATCGATAAAATTGCCACAAGATTTATGGTTTCGCCCCGAGGGAGACATACGAAATTAGCAGCCACACGTTGTAAACCCAAATGTAAATCCGATGACTCGCAATTGGAATGCAGCCATCAAAAGGCTATAAATCGAAGAGGTAACGAGAGGGTGAAGAGGAGCTGAAGGGCCCGAGACGTAGCCCTAAGAGACCTTGAGACCTATTTATAAATAAAGGCAAAACGGGACTGCTAGTGGGATGTCGTTGCCTAGGCCGGGTCTGACCTTCGAGAGGCTCAGAACCAAACCGTTGTTTATAGACTGAAATAACAGGTAACTGGCACCTGGGAGAGCTACGGTGGTAATTTGTGGTTCCAATGCAACTCACTCCACGGCCGCTATGCTAACCCAATTATGCACCTCGTTCCCAGGTGGGGGAACATTGATATCAAAGCTGGGAACGTGGCCAGTGGTTAGAGTTCTCCAACTGTAGGCCCTAGGCCAACCTCGAAATAGAATCTATGTCAGTGGCAAGCTTTACGGCTTTTGCCGTACATTCTTTCAGTGCATTCTCCGAAGAAAGTTGCGGAGTGCGTTGGAACTTGTTTAATGGAAATTAACCGCTTAGATCTCTTGACATCAAACTAAATTGTGGCAGTGAAACTTTCGTTTTATTTCACAGGCCTCGGTAATAATTTTGTTTATATTTTTGTGTCTGCTTTTATTATTCCTTTTTTTTTTGGCAAACGCACACATTATTAATGAGACTGGTTGGCTTGGGCTTTTCTTTGTTTTGGCTGCTAACCGAAATATATATTTTTATTTAGGCCACGATGTGGACGCCAAGGCTTTCCGTTCAATTCAAATTATTTGGCAAGTGCCGGCACGCGTCGAACATTTCAAATTTGGTATTATTTTTGGTCTCTTTGCTGACAAGAAATTGCCCAAAAAAACAAAAGCTGACTCAATGTGTCTCTGGGATGCACCTCCCATTTGTAAATTGACTTTGTCCGTCCGAATTACCCTTTTTTATGAGCGGAAAATCAATTAGGCATTATCAAATGCATAAATTGGACAGGTTGTCTTGGGCCAAGGCACATGCCACAGGCAATTAGAGTTGTTACAATGTTTTGCGATAGAAAAATGTCAATGGATTTTCTTTTTTTTAGGACAAGTTTTAAAGCAAAACAATAAATAGAGTCTGATATAATAAGATCTAGTAAGAAATCTGTATTAAGATCAAAACTATATATTTAATATGAAGGACTTTTATACATCTATGTAGATACCAATGCAATTATTTTAAACTTTTGCCACTTTTTTGTATTGCAAATATTTTATCTTTAAGCTCCCAATCACGTAGTTGTTAGACATGACAGTTGGCGCCCAGTGATCTATAAATCGCTCCATTAACGCCAATACCCAAAACCAGTAGAACTACCAGTAAGTGGCTCAAATAATTTGTTTATTTACGTGTAGCCGCGATATTTATGCAACTCTTGGAAGTTTGTCAAGGCGTTTGCTTGGATTCCGTTTCCGATTTCCGTCTGTGGCTCGGCACTGGTTTCCTTGGCCAAGTTGCCACCCATGACCACGAATCCGATGCCAGCACCCGCCTTGTAGCTCAGCTCATGGTAGCCAGCCTCGTCGTAGTATGAGTACTTCCCCAGGACATTGCCGGACTCGTCGGTGTGCTGGGAGTGAGACATTTGCGAGGTGGTGAAGTCAAAGTTCCGATGGCTCTTCTGGGGACTGGGATTCGTTATATATCCGCCACTCAGTGCTGAAGTAGCCTGATAATCCTGGGAGTTGTACGACATTGCAGGTACTGTATTCGATCTACTCCTCAAAGCTTGCTGCACGAACTGCAAGGAATCCAAGGGCTCTAGGGAATTACTTGGACCATATCCTGCTGAACCATAGTTGGGTGTGTAGACACTCCTGTCCAGACGGTCGCCATCGGTGTTGTAGGAGTATCTATTGCCATTGAACTCCATGTAGACTTGAGCTGCCTGAGCGCAAGAAATCCCAAGTAGTCCCAACCAAACCGGCAGCATCTTTACAAGAGGAAACTGAAAGTTAAACTAAACTCTTGGAAGTCATAGGCTTGGGCTTATATGCAGATCCTAAGATAACCGCAATGGTTAGCCCAACCTGCTTTAAGATGCCGCCACGGATATCACATGACCACAAAGATACAGATACAAAATCAGTTACAGATACAGGCATTAAATGTATTCCGCCTTAAAATACTGTTACAGTTTCCACGTGGAGCGATTGGATTCAACCCAGTTTCGGTTACTTAACACTGATCACTTAGAGCTAACTACCAGTTACTACAAGCTACTGCCGATTAGTGCTCCCGGGAGGCGTTCAGCTCGGCAATCTCGTCCTGCCGCAGAGCCTCCGATGGCGACAGACCGATCCTTCCGCCCAGCGGTATTATGTCGATGTTCTGGACATGGGCCCGGACACTCTGGCCCGGTGGCAGGCCCACGTACCACTTGCCCACGTTCTTGATCACCGTGGAGTCCCGATGTCGCTGCACCCACTCTCTGTCCCGATCGATCTCCAGGATCCGGTGGTTGGCCGTCACCAGTGGTGGCAACGAGCTGCCCACGTCGTCGTCGTTTAGGTGATAGTTGTCTCCGGGTCCGCTGACGGCACTGCTGCCGGAGCCACTTGTCGCAGGTGGCAGGTAGCCCAGGCCGGAATCGCCTTCACTGGAGCCAGAGCTTGAGGATCCCCCACCCCGGCGACTGCTGCCGCCGCCTCCTCCACCACTGCCGCCTCTTCCCCCAGATCCTCCCCTTTCCGAGGAACCTGCCCCTCCACTCCCACTGAATCTGTTCCTATTTCTGGACCCACTTCCGCTTACCCTAGAGGAGCCTCCGCCACCACCTCCACCTCCTCCTCGTTCGGAGTTTCCACCTCCACCATCATACCTTGTGCTGCCCCTGTTGGAGTTTCCGGCTGCAAACCCGCGACGATCCTCTTTGCCGTTGAAGGAGGTAGATCCACTCGATCCCTGACTTATTCCAATATCGTCATCGCCATTTCCGTCATCAGATCCCAAATCATTTCCGGCCGCCTCCGCATCTGCCTCCAATTGATCCCTGCTGCCGCCTCCGCCCGTTCGACTGCCAGGGCGACCCCTACCCCCAGCACTGGATCCTCCAGATCCGGACGATGAACCTCCCCCACCCCGTGCTCCTCCTGATCCGCTAGACCCGCCTGATTTTGGTCCAAGCCCACCCCCTGCACCTCTGCCAAAGTCATTCGCCAAACGGAAATCCGGATCAGCCAGACGGAAGTCGGCCACTGAAGGATTGATGTGCGTTCCAGGACCAATCCTGTTATGCACCACTCGGTAGCCTATTCCCGCTCCAGCTATATATTCCACAGTCCTCTGGACGCCCTTGTCGTCCAGGAAGGAGTAGGTGCCGCGTACCAGGCCATCCGGGGCTCGGCTCTCCGCTCGTCGGTGATCCGGACCAGCAGCGATGAGCTTATAGCTTCCGGCTGGACCTCGTTGTACGGCCATCTTACCACGGGTCTTGGGATGGGACTTGTACAAGGGACTGGAGTAGGCCACACTGGAAGGACTGTCCGGCAAGGCATTGGAGATCTCGAAGCCAGTTCCTGCTCCTGCGGCATACCGGACACTGTGCCGTTCGCCAATATCATCCAAGTAGGAGTAGAGTCCTGGAAGACATTGGACATTAATTCGGTACTTTATATTATGTCTTTAACTCACCCCTGATCCTATTTCCAGAATCATTCTCCTCACTCCGTGACTGATCCGGGGTACGGAAACTGAAGCTGTAGGAGGGATCGTCGAAAGGATCGGCTAGTGGGTCATCCGGACTCCCTCGCGGCAAAACCGGATACTGGGCCAAGTCCATTTTACGATGAATTTTCGGTCCGTTAGCCCGGAATCTGTGGGAAATTGATGAGGATGATAGAAATTAATTAGCCACCTTTTACAATGGGTTGGGTAAACCCTCCCAGCGGAACTGCAAGTCGGAATATAGATTCGATCTGCGCCCGCCACGTCGTTAGCTTGATTACCAAACCACACATCTCCGGGGAAACGATCTTCCATTGAGAATCACTGCTATCGCTGAGCATCTGCGATCTCCACGGGTATTAGCCGTCCATTTTTGGAACTGATCTCGGAACTCCCAGGCCAGTCAATTTGTTAACAGCTTTTTGTTTCCCCCATCCAATTTACCGGAGATTGCAAAAAACAACAAACAGTAGCAACCAGTGGCAGTGGTAGTGGCAAGTAATGGAAAAACGTTTAGGCAACGCCAGAAAAAGCAGTCCAATGTGTTAGAACGGCTTCGAGTTGGTTTTCAGCTCGAGATTCGCTTCAGTGGCCGCCGCCTGCCGCCAACCGCTGATATATGAGCTCAACTCCGACAGCGAGGGGAGATAACTCAGTTTGTGCCGCCACTTCCTTTACCACCTAATACACTCCAAAAAATCTCTACTATATGGTATATAACCCTACTAAGATGGGGTTTAAAGTTTGTTTCTTGAAAGTCAGGAAAGAATCCTTAAAAAAAAGATCTTGAGACCCCTACAACCTCTTAGTCCTATTCCAATTACCCCAAAATTTTCTCCCTGTGCATCCTATTACTTTACCCTCTCTGCCAAAGATCCGCAGACGTCTTCGTTTACTCACCCACGTGGTCCGGCCGTGTAGACCGTCTCCTCGATCTGGCCGCTCGCCGGACTCCGCGAACCGTAGCGACCTCGCACCGTGTTGTCCGGAGTGCCCGAGGCGCTGTGATAGTAGCCGCCAATGTCATCATTTGCATGTCTGTTTGGACACCGATGATCGTATATAGGATGGAGGCGTAGGTGGAGGAGCAACAGTTGCCACAAGTCGAACCACAAGTAATTGCGTTGCCCCCATGCGTGAGAAATGGAAATTGAAATGGAAATGTAATGGAGAAGGAATGATTGTCGGAAGCGGGTTATTGTTTCTTTCAGTTTATGTTGTTTTTGGTCTTGTGGTTGCCAAACATTGGAACGCTAAAGAGGTGTTAAAAAAAATCTCAAAATTTGCTCGAGTGTGATGGCAACATAACCGAACACCATTGACCGATTAGATGATTTGTTAGATTTATGACCCATGCCAGGGGAAAACGGTAATTGAGATTTTGGCAGTTTTTAGGTTTTTTTTGGTATTCCTTGGAATTTCAGAAAGGTGGCTCTATGATAGAGTTATTATTTAAACTAGCTATTAAGAAAGACACTTGAAAGTTAAAGATTTGTTTGCATTTTGTTATAAAGTTAAAATATAATTTTAAAGTTTTTGAAACAGTACCAGGGAATCCTCTTTTTTCAGGAGATTTTTTAAAATAATTATTTTAAATTGTATCGTGTATTGAAGGTATTCTTTTAAGGACATTAAAAGTATCCTGTTACTTAATCGTAGCATATTAAAAAAAGAAATTATGATTCTAATTTTTGCCTCAAATTTTAGACCATCTATAAGTAAATGTTTTTTTAAATATGACACTTTTTCGAGTCCTTAAACACTTGATTCCTTAAATGGTTCTCCACACTTTATCTCCAAATATTTATATCCTTGTACCGAAATTGAAAGGATCCATCCTCGTTTATGGTATTGTATTCAATCTCAGCACTCCCTGGATCCACAAAGAAACCCAAAAGAGCACCGAAAACTGAAATGAGATGCAGGGGCAGATGCGAGTGCAGCATCATGAAATCGCATTTAATCCACTGAGAAAACGACAATCAAACGCGCATCCTGTGGCAGCCACAGAGTCACCAAACGAATGTGTATCTTATCCCGATTAGAGGAACACCGAATCCGAGGTCTAGATCCCGACTGGAAGTTAAGCTCCGACTTGATGAGAACAACGCGACGACGACGACTGATGCGATCCAGCGTTAGACCTTCGTATTTAAATACGATTCTCAGGCGAGGCAGCCAACGGTGGCCACTAAAGCGGTTCGTGCCGTTGCTTCTATCGGTGGTGCTAGTGGTGATGGTGGTGGTGGTGCTGCTGCCACTTGTCTCACCTGACCACCCACAAAAAAAAGCACACCCAGCAAGGCAGTGGCTTCCACACGAAGATGAAACAGCAGCATTTGTGTGCAAATTGCGTTACAAGAAATTCAGGGGGAGGCGGTGGGTCTCAACTTAGTCAGGGGGCGGGGCAGGTGAGAGAATTTGTTCTAATGACGGACACGCAAGTGTTGTTGTTGTTGTTGTTGCTGTAGTTGTTACTGTGGCAGCTGTTGCACTCCAGAATCTTCTTCTGGAGGTCTTGGTTGCTTATTTATTTTGTGGCTGCACTGACTCCTTGTTCGTTAGCTTGTAACAGGAATTTACGATGGGGAAAAGCCACCAAGCCAAATGGTGACCATGCTACGGGGAAAATGCAAAACTGGGAAATGGAAAATCGTGCCTCTGTTGCTGTCTGTCAATTAGCTCACGTTGTTCTTGTGCTCCGATGTTGCAGCCTGGAAAGCTTCCTGTTGACAATGTTGCCTCCCTGCTGCCTTCTGGCCAACCAAAAATCTTGGCTAAGTATTCTGGCCTATACACAGAAAGAATCTCTATCTCTATCCATTGTTGGTTTAAAAATAATCTAGTTATTGTTTTTATTAACAATTTCCGTTGGCTTAGATCTCAAAAGTAAATAGGAAGTATTTTTCCAATCCTAGACCGATTCTTTCTTAGAACTTCCATAGTATTTCCTTATTGCTTAAGTAGTTCTTATTTATCTTTCGAAAATATATATTATTTTTAAAGAAAACCATGTTAAAAGTACAAAATCCAATCATTATTTTGATGTATCTGTTACCCCAAACATTGAACTTCACCCCGCTTATGAAACTATGAAAACAATTTTCAATTTTTTTTGGATTCCATTTCCCGACACCGTTAGCCGGGAGAACCTATTACGGATTACGAGATTCGATCCAGCCGGAGTCTAGGTCAGTGTCTTAGCCACTTTGGGTGCAATTTTCAAGCAGCATTGCAATTAAAGGCAATTACCCGGCAGCTGAAAGGAGACGAGAGTGCTTTATGACAATTTCCGCCTAGGATCCGCGATCCACGAGCATTTTAATGAAGCATAATTAGTGTGGAGACGATGGCCAGCAGAAGCCAACTTCCAAGTACAGTTATTGGCCATTGTTCTAAGCTCTGATCTCTGGCCTATGGTCTCTAGTCTCTGGGGTTCTAGACATCTTAGGTGGATGTGTCAAGCCCTCTGACCAGATCGAATCGCTTCGCTGGCTCCGGCTATGGCTCTGTTTGTATGGTTTATAGTTTATGGCCAGAACCCAGCCCATCTCGACTACCGCCTTTGATAATCTTTATGGGGGCTTCTCGTTTTTTTTTGGCCAGAAGGCGGAAGAGTTTGCCCGGTTTGGGCCTGGTCGTGATGGCCATTTATTGGTTAATTGTGCACTCAATCGAAGCGAGTGCGTTTCCAACTCAATTACAGAGTCGCAGAACAAAAACCGCAGAAAAAATGAAATGTAACCTAATGCGATCGGAGAGGTGTATACCCATCTATCTGCCAATGACCATTTTCAAAGGCATGTGGTCGGGAGGAGGAGATTGCGGTGGAGGAGCATGACTTTAAGGACAAGTTTCTAACGGAGCAGCGACTTTGGAGGCAACTGCACGCATGGGAAATGTGCAACCAGTTGTGGCAGTTGCATTTGCCATTGAACCACATACCCATTGAGCAAAACTGGAAATTCATAAGCAAGTTAGTAGTAACAGTTGGCCAATGGTCACTGGCCATCCTGCCAGACCACTGGCTGGCTATCTGGCTGGCTGGAAAGTGAAAATGCTTTCGTTTTCATCGGCGAGGCATTTCTTTCGGGGGACATTCAATTGACAGCAGCCAAGGCGATCGGTTCGGCGAGGAGTATCCAATTAATCGCAGCCATGAGGATTACACAACTGTTATATATCTCCAGTATGGTTATCGCATCGATCGATGCACTGGAATATATAATTCGTTTTGAGACGAAAAAGGCCCGCTGCCTAAATCCGCCCAGAACGGCCAGGAAGGTGGAGTCGGTCATAGGGGAGTGCCAGGATGAGGTCAGAAATAAGCTAGTAAATGGTGAGTCCTTGAAAATGAAAGAGACTGCAACACCTACAATGATGTCCTGCCTCTACAGAGGCCTATGAAATACTCAAGGAGCAGGTCTCCCAGAACCAGCCCCCGCCCATTGATCCCAACGATGACTCCATCGACTTTATTTGGCCTTCGAACGGAGCAGCCATCGAACTGGATCATCCACCCAATGGCCCTCTGAATCTCAGCAACTACGAGTACATTATCTATGATGAGCCCCATCCCCAGCGCCACATGGCCAGGCTGATGAGGAATATACGCCGGCTGGACGTGGCCAGTTCGGGCATCTATCACCCCACCTTGGTGCCCCTGGAGGATAAACGCATAGCCGGGGTAAGTGCATTCCACAAGAATCCACAAGTGTCTTCCAGTTAGCTTTTCTTCTCGTGTTAATGAAATGCAAAGCGACGCTCAATTAAGTTCAATGGCAGCCCAAAGCAAAAAAAAAAAACAAGAAAAACAATTGGCAACAGCCCCACAAAAACCTAAAGTCAGGGTCATCAGACAATTGAAAGAAAAGCACGAGCCGCAGATGCGATGATGCCTTTTCAGATGCATTTTCAAAATTCACACACCTCCGTCGCAGTCAGAGGTTTTTCGCACACCTCCAGCAAAAAGCTGAATTTGATGACTGAAAAGCGCACTTTATGTCGGCACTTAATACACATTAGCTGGCTTTTATGCATCAGCAAATTGAATGGGTATATCTCGAATGAATATATATATAGGAATGGAAAACTGCATCTGGCATCTGTTCGAATTAACTAATAAAGCCACATTTCAGTGCCTCCTGCATTGCGTATACGCCAGGAACAACGCCATCGACCACAAGGGCTGGCCCACCCTGGACGGACTTGTCCAGTTCTACTCCGAGGGCGTACACGAGCACGGCTTCTTCATGGCCACGTTGCGGGCCGTGAACATCTGCCTCCGGACAATGACCGCTAGGTACGGCGTCAATCGCAAGGAGCTGCCCCAGAGAGGTGAAAGCTGCGATCTGGCTTTCGACGTCTTCGACTGCATATCGGACCAAATTACCGGCTACTGTCTGGATCAGTACAGCAGGTATTAATAAGTGGTTTATTAGTCTGTGTTTGTTGCAATAAAAAGTGTTTAGAGCCAGTCGAATTGGATGTTTGTTGAATGTTTGCTTGTTATGACTGGAAATGAAGACTTATTAGCAGTCTGGTTAGCTTTCAAGACATTGAAGTTGGAATTTTTTAAAAACTAACTTCAGTTGATTTGTCATCTTTTGACAATGTTTTGTAAAAACACTTTAAGTAAGATTTTTAACAATGAAAGACAGGCTTGGGTGCCTTTTGGGTCCCATATTTGTGTTTTTCAGAAAAACAGTAGAATTGTAGAATCTAATGCCGCCCTGTGGGTATGTTCCAGAATAAAATTGTTACCTACTGCTCATTTATATAAATTATGGCCACTGTACAATTATATTATTGTAATAATCCATATTTCCAATATCTACTAACTTTGGAAATTCAAAAGCCCGCCACTTTCGGGCCATCCCCTATAAAAATAAACTTTTTTATCGAAACTGGTTTCTGTCTTCGCTTCAGTTCGATTCGAACATGTTCGAACTGCCAGAAAAGTTGCGTGTTTACTGTTTCTAGCTGATTCAAAATAAAATATAAGGAATATTCTTTCTTTTTATATTTCTATTCTTTATGATACAACATTATATCCACAATGGACCTATGTACTTCATAAGCTTCATAGTTTTTTTGAACGCGAAAATTCAAACAAGGGTTGTATTTTAGATATTAGAGAAAAGTCGATATCACGATGAAAATATTTAACTTTCCTACTTGACTATCGATATGTAAATAGTTTTTAGCTATCAAAAATCTCTCATCCCTGCAAAAGTTTTCGGCTGTAAAAACGTAAATATTTAAACTTTTTCTAATTTTAAACTTTAAAAGTGCGGTGAAGCAATAAAAAGAGCTTAGAGACCATAACAATAGAGAGCTTGTTGTGAATTTTTAGAAAAACATGAAATTAGAGCGATTTTACTGTTGGCCCACTTTCAAGACAAGCTTGTCAATCATGTGGAGTCTATTAGGCGTTCTTTCAATCAATTGACCATCCGCGTGGTCCTCCCCTTTCGAATGGCGTCGATTTCCTGGAATCTAACCGTCCCAGACTCCTAGGATTTGGCCTAAAAGCAATTTTTCAAGGACTCTTCTTATATAAGCGACAATGCAGGTGGGCGGACCTTGGAAAAGCGCTTGCGTGAAAAGTGGAAAAGTGAAATTCCGCAATGCAAAACAAGCGGCACAGGCGAAATGTTGTAAAGTGAACGTGGAGGCAACTCGGCATGGATGACGCAATGTTATTGAGATTGCCGCGTGTGCTTTTTCTCGGCAACCCAATGAATCATCAATCAAAACCGCGTAGAAAGCGCGCGGTCGCATTGTCAGCATATTTACTTCTTATCCCCCCCTCTCAAAGGGGAACCACACACATACCCAACTAGTGGTTGCTGGCTGTTGTCTGTGGAGCCTATGATAAGCCTGTTGTGGTGGCCGCAGATCAGTCACAGTTACAGCCCTCCTTGGACACGCTTCGGTTACCTCACGCTGTTGGCCCTCAGCTCTTCTTCTTGTTCAGGGGGGCTCGTCTAGGGCCGTCATTTTCTTCTCAATGGAATGCAGTTGCATGCTGGTTTCAGTACCGGCTAAGCTGTGTCCAGCACCACCTTATTGATTATATACGCTACCTAAGAGTCTTATGGACTTGTAGTAGTGCCTACTACCATGGCATTCCAAAGTTCGACTTGCACCCACCCTCGAGGGTGGAGTGATAAATTAATTAAGCTCGTGTGTGAATTTGAAAATTGTATTGATTAGCGAAAAGGTAATCGATACAGAAGCAGACACGACACCCATTCCTTGCACTTGGCCTGTAACACTTTCTGGCTCTCTTTCTCCACATATTTCGGTGGCTATGTGGGCGGCTTTTCTTTCAAACGACCAGCCGGCTGACGAGCGGACTTTGGGTTTCTTGTAAACAAAAATTCTGGGCTATAAATACCATCCACAGGGAGCAGATGGACAAATAGGTGGCCAAAGAGAGGCGGTTAGATAAGCGCAGGAAATATAGGCAATCTACGTGATTCTTATCAGCTCTCTTTATTTTTTTTTTTATTGGAAGTAGGCAGTAGGAAACCAAACCCCCTTTTCCTTTTCCTCCAAAAAGATACAGATACTAATGCGTTCGGCGTTGTCATGTGCCCGATTCGGTGTGTATGTTTTTTTTTTATCACATACTCTGGTTTTCCACCGATCCCCGATACCCCTATCTCCGGTCTTTTTGGCCGTGAAGAGCAAATTCGATTTCTAAAATTTTGTATTTCACTCTCGACGGCAGCGGCGGCGGTTGCTTTTTTGTATTTCAGCTCGCCTTCAGTCGACGCGCAGCACTCAGCACGAACAAACGTTTGCCGCGTATCTGTCAGATACGGATACGAGTACGACGAGTACATATATTCGGTTGGTTATTTTTTGGAGCAAATCGCACACAGTATATGCGATGCATATATATAACATTTTATTTGGTTTATTCCACGGCAGTGCAGTGTATATTCATTCGGCATTCATTCTCCCCTCTTTCCCCCCCATTTTAATGGATTTTTCCAGTCATGCTCCGAGTTGGAGCCATTAAATCCAGTGAGCTATTTAACGCTAATTAGACCGACTCGTCCCGTCCCGTCATCTTCCGTTCGAGCGTTCTAATAACTTATTTTCCTTCTCTCACGCGAGTCTGTTTTTTGCACTTATGTAATGTGTTTTCGTAACCAAAGCAGCAGCGGCTGTGACGGCGGAGAGCAGAAAAAAAAAATAATTGCAGGGAAAACATTGTGAAAAGCGCCAGCAAACAGATATGTAGATAAATAACCATGAGCCAGGAGACAAGCAACACAAGCCACCTAAATTGAATTATCCAAACATCTGTATCTACAGCTGGGACAGTAGATGCATCTACTCTAGATGCTAGCCTTTCAAATATTTAACTTTGACCGCTCCAAACCGGTTATATTGTTCCAATTGTTTTCTAATTTTTGGATTGAAGGTCTTGGGGGCCAGTGTTTTGTAATCATTTTGTGTCTGGCCAGCATGTCGATCGATAAGGCATGTGACCCAGGGCAGCCACGCCTTCTTCCAAATCCCCATTCTCAGCCAAAAATTCAATTCATATATATTTTTTTTTTGCACGACTGGCCTTAGATAGTGATTGGCGACCAGCCTTCAATTACGACATCCGCACGCGCTGGCTTATCACGAACGATTTGATTATTAATTTGACAATTTCTGGAATAATTTACGTGGCATGATCGAGTCCGGGGGCCTGCATCCTTATCGGATCTCGGCCCGTCTAGAGGCTTCCTTGCTGCGTCATGGCCTAAAGGAATTTATTGACTCTCAGCCGGTCTCGGGACATACACACTTGACATTATCTTAGTAAACCGGGACAGGTACGATGTTGGTCGTGATTCAAAAACCACAAACAAAAGTCGTTGCTTTTTATTTAAACAGCAAATATTCACAACTGATTAAAAGTTGGGAAACGAAACGACACGACTCGGCAGAAAAAAACTGCGCAAAAGACGACCTTCTCCTCTCTCTCTGAGGTGCCCATATAATAAACCCATTTCACCATTAAATATATAATTTTTGGGGGCATAGTATCTCTTGGCTGATTATAAAAAAAAATACGAACGGAATAGAGAAACCTGCCCACGCCAGTTTGACGTCACCGGCAAAACAGAGCCCCCAGAATCAGCAGTCGTCAGTCGGCGTCACGTGTGCGTTTTTCAAGCGACTCCCACCTCTCATCGTGGAGTCTAGTCTGGCCAACAGACTGGCGTATGTAAATTTTGTATCACAGTACCCGCCGATTGTTAACAGGTTTCGGGCCGGAATTTCATAACTGCCGGCCTGGCAACAAGTTTCAATTAGACCGGTGGTTAGATCGGTGACACAGTTAAGAAGGTGGTTTTGGAGTTTGGCCATGACGTAAAGACTTCCAAGACGACGACGACGACGCTCTATCTAATCTCGTTTACAGCAGCCGTGGGTCAGGGGGTTTCCGAGGGGCGTCAGGTTGTTTGTCAACAAAGCACCCTCATCAATTAATCGAAAACCGACCGAGTGATATAATAATGCACTGATAACACTGATAAGATGCCACCTTCTCCTTATTTCAGTTCTATTTTGTAAAGCTACAAAATGCATAGAGCCCACACAGCCTTTAGCCTGGCCCTGTCGCCCAAGGCACACAAGAACTTTGCCACATGGCTGCTCAAGAGCACCACCAACCAGCAGGTGAGTCTTTAAAATAGCTCTGGATAGCTTTTACTTCAATCTACATCCAATTCCAGATGGTCAAGGCAACTGCAGCGGCCGCTGTGCGCACCTACAACTCCGCCGCAGCCGAACCTTTTGCCAATGGCTCCACCGCCTCCTACGTGGAGGAGATGTACAACGCCTGGCTGCGGGATCCCACCTCAGTGCACACCGTAAGTGGTTGGGTCAATAAACGTCAATACAAATCCGGTATAAATTAGCATACCTGTTACTTCCAGTTCCGGAGTAACTGCAGGTTGTATATACTTCCTGTAGCTTCCGGTTATAATTAGTATAGGCTTTAAGGAAGTTTAAGAATCTACTTATATCCTACTCCTCTTTCTTACAGTCCTGGGATGCCTATTTCCGCAGCAACAGCTACACCAGCCCGCCCAACCTGGCCCCCGTTCAGGCCAACACTCTGCCCCTGACTGCTTTTAACTTTGGAGGCGCCGTTGGCGGAGCTGCGCCCGACTCCAAGACCATCGACGACCATCTGGCCGTCCAGGCCATCATCAGGAGCTACCAGGTACGTCGGCTCGTGCTGGCAAGCCCTCAATCACAATCGATTGAAGTTGAGATTGCAGCAGCCACAGCTACGGATCGTTTTCGTATTCGTTTGGCGCTTATTGTTTCGTTCTCCTAGGTTCAGTTAATGTTTATGTTTTAGACCCTTAGAGTTGCCTCCGCCTCCGTTTATTGTGTGTTCTCATTATTGTGCATATACCCCCCGACCAGATCCATTCGAGTCCAAATCTTCATGGTAGATTAGTGTCTATGATTTCCCCACTGCATTTCCATTTAGTTGGTAGAGAGCATAATTATATATCTGGGAAGTGTCAATCATGTAGCTTGGTTTTCTGTTTTTCATTTCGGGTTCACCACCAAGTAGCTTCTGTTGTTGGGGGGGAGATTGGTCACAAATCTATATCACCTTCCATTACCAAAACCTAGAGATATATATCCACGGGGTCTAGTCATCCTTAAGTATCTAAGACAAGGAATTATTCTTATTATTTGCACATAAAAATTAAAATAAATTTTAACCCATTGTGTTGTAGTTGAGTTTCACACGATATCCCCCCGCTACCGTTTTGCATTTAACTTGATATACCTACATATAAGACCTAAGATCTACCCTGTACACCTCTTTACATTTATAATCAATCTATCTACGATATATGTTACGTACCATATATAGTCACGTGGTCATTTGGCATCTGATCTGGATCCGCTTGGAATTTTGACACGGGAAAAGACCGTTTGCAAGGATGGGCTAGCACGTCGTGCTAACGAAGATGTGCTCAGGCAGCATTCTGGGTTTTTGTTTGGTAAAGATTCTTTTTACAGAACTCTGTCTCTCTATATATCACTCATGTAACACCCTAGTCGCACCACCGAACCACCCGATACTCCAGTGCACCAACCCGCTACTCCCCATTTCCCCCAAAAAGCTAAACCCATATCCGACATATGCACTTTTGGTTCTGAAAAATTATTCTCGTGCTTAAGTAACATTTAACAGCCAACAAGAATGTTAAATGAAATTCGGAGTTGATGAGGAAGGGATTAGGATTAGTTATAGTTATAGGTCTATAAGTATCCAGTAAGTAACCACCTTGGTGTTTGGCGTTCTCTCTTCGAGTTACGGTTTATAGTTAAGCATCCCCATTTCTCTACTCGCTACTCCATATCTCTTTGTCTCTGATCCTTGACCTTTTTTCTGTTAATCGTTATTTCTGTGCACTGCGTTATCCTGATCCTTGATTAACACTCGGCCACCCAATAATTATAAGACATTCCCCTCATCCAGTCGAGCGAATTAATTGCCGCTTTTAGTGTCTGCTTTGTTTTTTGTGTTTTGTGCGCTGACTACTGTATCTGTTTTTATGTCAATACTCTATTATTCTATAATTTTAATTGATTAATTTCTTTTTCTTTATTTTTATATAACCGCTTCCTAACCCAAAACCCTAATCGAAAAAAAACACAAAACTGCAATCGAAACCACAATACGCCACCAAATCGTCTTAAAAACAATGTTTAAACGAAAATTCCAAATTCTTTCTCTTTGTATTATGTGTGTGTTGTAAACAAAATCGAAATCCAATCCGAAAACATTAATACTCTGCCACCAAAATTCAAAAACAAACAAACAACCAACACCATCCAATATATATACTGACACGTTAGATTCGAGGACATAATATTGCTCACCTCGATCCACTTGAAATTAATACACCAGACTTGCCAGGCAACTCCTCGACGAAAACCATTTACGCTAATTTCAGTTTTGGTAAGTAAATACTCGGCGCTGGTACATGCCCCGTACTCGTACACCTCCCGGGCCGGGAGCCATCCCGGCCACAGTCCCCCCCTTAACCGCCTTGATTTGTAAATACCTTGTGGTAGTGACGTCTTTCTGTCTTTCACGCGCCCACCCCACGCACGCTCTCCCCGAAATCGAATATCCGACACACAAATGTTACCAAATGATATATAGAACCAAGTAAATATACGCCTATATATTGCCAATAATTTGTGTTACATCGTTTGTACATTTTTGCCACATTACTATTATTATTTTAATATTGTTGTTGTGTGTATGTCGTGACAATGAGTTAAAATAAACATTATATACAGAAGACATACTTATTTAAGTCATTTCATCGAGTTCCTAAATAGATTGCATGATTATTTATTTTTTAATCACAAGTGGAGGGAAATCGATCGATAAGCCTCAACTAGTCTGATAGAAAAAACAAAAAACTCGAGCTTTTAAAAAGACCCCCCTAATGCATGTCAATTTAATGGTCCCTGAGTGATGAAGTAAAAGATGAACCGAGTCCAGATCTAAGATGAGCATGAAATACTTGTTCGTACACTCCCCGAAATAAGAAGAAAAACAAAAGTCATTACACTCCGAATTTCAAACCAACATTTGCCGCCTACAGTTAACTACTAACCTTCACACTTAAATCCAATCTCGAGGAGCACCTTACTAATGTATTGCCTTCCCTCCCATAACCCAAAAAAAATAAACAAATACAGGCGAGCAGGACATGGAGCGTCAGTTCAAGCTGCCCAGCACCACCTTCATCGGCGGTGATGAGGCTTCTCTGCCCCTCAAGTGAGTAAACCACTACCTCTTTACTTTAAGATACTAAACACCTCTTCTTCTTTTAGGGAAATCCTGAACCGTCTGGAGAACGTCTACTGCAACAAGATCGGCGTGGAGTTCATGTTCATCAACTCCCTGGAGCAGTGCAACTGGATCCGCAAGCGTTTCGAGACCCCCGGCGTTCTGAACTTCTCGCCCGAGGAGAAACGTCTCATCCTGGCCCGTCTGACCCGTGCCACCGGCTTCGAGGCCTTCCTGGCCAAGAAGTACTCTTCGGAGAAGCGTTTCGGTCTTGAGGGCTGCGAAATCATGATCCCTGCCCTGAAGGAGATCATCGATGTGTCCACCGAGCTGGGCGTGGAGTCGGTCATCATGGGTATGCCTCATCGTGGACGTCTCAACACCTTGGCCAACGTGTGCCGCAAGCCCCTGAACCAGATCTTCACCCAGTTTGCTGGTCTGGAAGCTGCTGATGATGTGAGTTCGCTCAGGGAATACTTTCAGTACCCATACTAATTGTTATCCACTCAGGGTTCTGGTGATGTGAAGTACCATTTGGGTACATACATCGAGCGTCTGAACCGCGTGACAAACAAGAACATCCGCCTGGCTGTGGTGGCCAATCCATCGCATCTGGAAGCCGTCGATCCCGTCGTGCAGGGCAAGACCCGTGCCGAGCAGTTCTACCGCGGCGACCAGGAGGGCAAGAAGGTCATGTCCATCCTGATTCACGGTGATGCCGCCTTCTGCGGCCAGGGTGTCGTCTACGAGACGATGCATCTGTCGGATCTGCCCGACTACACCACCCACGGCACCATCCACGTAGTGGCCAATAACCAGATCGGCTTCACCACCGATCCCCGCTTCTCGCGTTCCTCTCCCTACTGCACAGATGTTGCTCGTGTCGTGAATGCACCCATTTTCCACGTCAACGCCGACGATCCAGAGGCCGTGATGCACGTGTGCAAGGTGGCTGCTGAGTGGCGTGCCACTTTCCACAAGGACTGTGTCATTGATCTGGTGGGATACCGACGCAACGGTCACAACGAGATCGACGAGCCCATGTTCACCCAGCCCCTCATGTACCAGAAGATCCGCAAGCACAAGAACTGCCTGGATCTCTATGCCGACAAGCTGATCGCCGAGGGCACTGTCACCGGCGAGGAGGTCAAGTCCGTGGCCGCCAAGTACGAGAACATTTGCGAAGAGGCCTTTGCCCTGGCCAAGACCGAGACTCACGTCAAGTACAAGGACTGGTTGGACTCGCCCTGGTCCGGCTTCTTCGAGGGCAAGGACCCCCTGAAGGTGGCCCCCACCGGCGTGAAGGAGGAGACCCTGATCCACATTGGCAACCGGTTCTCATCCCCACCACCCAACGCCGCTGAATTCGTGATCCACAAGTAATTAAGAGACTATCCTTACTTTAGCTTATGACTAACCATCAAATTCCTATTTCCAGGGGTCTGCTGCGTGTGTTGGCTGCCCGCAAGACTATGGTTGATGAGAAGATTGCCGACTGGGCTCTGGGTGAGGCCATGGCCTTCGGCTCCTTGCTGAAGGAGGGCATCCACGTCCGCCTGTCCGGTCAGGATGTGGAGCGTGGCACCTTCTCGCACCGTCACCACGTGCTCCACCATCAGCTGGTGGACAAGGCTACCTACAACTCGCTGCAGCATATGTACCCCGACCAGGCCCCCTACTCCGTGTCCAACAGCTCGCTGTCGGAGTACGCTGTGCTTGGATTCGAGCACGGCTACTCGATGACCAACCCCAACGCTCTGGTCCTGTGGGAGGCCCAGTTCGGTGACTTCAGCAACACCGCCCAGTCGATCATCGATCAGTTCATCTCCAGCGGCCAGTCCAAGTGGGTGCGCCAGTCCGGTCTGGTGATGCTGCTGCCCCACGGCATGGAGGGCATGGGACCCGAGCATTCGTCGTGCCGCGTGGAGCGTTTCCTGCAGATGAGCAGCGACGATCCCGACTACTTCCCCCCGGAGTCCGATGAGTTCGCTATCCGCCAGCTGCACGACATCAACTGGATCGTGGCCAACTGCACTACGCCCGCCAACTACTACCACATCCTGCGTCGCCAGATCGCCTTGCCCTTCCGCAAACCCCTGATCCTGTGCACGCCCAAGTCCCTGCTCCGTCACCCGGAGGCCAAGAGCCCCTTCAGCGAGATGAGCGAGGGCAGCGAGTTCCAGCGCATCATCCCCGACAACGGCCCCGCCGGCCAGAATCCCAGCAACGTCAAGAAGGTCGTCTTCTGCACGGGCCGTGTCTACTACGATCTGACCAAGACTCGTACCGAGAAGCAACTGGAGAGCGACATCGCCATTGTGCGAGTGGAGCAGGTAAGCCGATGCTGTTTTGAATTATCTTTTTGGATTGCTCACCTAATCATCTTTGTTTCTTAGGTCTCGCCCTTCCCCTTCGACCAGGTCAAGGAGCAGGCCAACCTGTACAAGAACGCCGAGCTCGTCTGGGCCCAGGAGGAGCACAAGAACCAGGGCTGCTGGACCTATGTCCAGCCGCGTTTCCTGACCGCCCTCAACCACAGCCGCGATGTGAGGTAGGTGCCGGGGTCTAGAACCAAATGGCTATAGAATCAATCCTCCCCCAAGACCCCAGAATCTCGCTCAGGGTCTGATTCTTCAAACATATTCTTCTATTAGTTCTCTGTCTCCACAATCTCTGGCGTGCACCACTCTCATCGTGCACTGTCTCTAATTTTACGTTGATTTTCTCTGATTATCTTCCTCTACTTTGCTATTGTTTCATCATTTTTTTGCATTAATCTATTGATCTATCTATTGATTTGAGTTTATCTACATTCATCATGGCCTTGGCAGTCGTCATAAAGCTTTTGAAATTATTTTTATCTCATCCTTCATATATGCTTTCTAGCTGCAGACTTATTTTTCTTCATAGCACCCTATCTCTGCCCTTTCTATATCTATATACCTCCTATAGTAGCCAGTCTTCAAGTGATATAAGAACCTTCCACAAAAGTACACAAACATACACATTGAACTGATATACGCTTCTGGTTTATCTTTTCGTTTGGATGAGCATGTCCAGCACTGCAAAAAAAAAAAAGAGAAAAACAAATAAACTTTATCATGAAATTCAAAAAGAGTATCTAGCATTGAAATTCTCCAAGCGAGTCCATCAGCAAATTGGCTTCATCCATAATCATTCCATTATTAATTAGCATGGCTTTTTATTTATGATTTCGTTTAACCTTTGATTCCGTTCAGTTATCTTTCAACTTACTAATCGAAACTTGTGAAAGACGAGCAAACCAGTATTGTATTATTTTGAGAAACCCAGTCCCCCCTTCCCATCCACTCGTTGTGTAAATACGTGCAATATTGGTATAAAAAGAAAATCTACAAAAATTAACAAAAATTTTAAAAACAAAAATATGGAAAACAATTAGAAAATATCCAAAACGACTAGAAACAAATCCAAAAACCTTTCTCTCTTTTTCTCTCTCTCCGTATTTCTCTCTGTGTATGTGTTATTGTTACAGCCAAAGCGATGAGCAATCCTCCTACTCCAATACTACCAATACTACTGATCATACTAATCAAGTATCCGCCACCGATTCCGATTCTAACTCTGAACCAAAATCGAAACCCTGGCTGAGCCGCATGTTCACAAAGGACACGGATTCGGGTTCCGATCCGGCATCGCCCCAGGGCGCCAGCGGTGACTTTAATGCCGCCAAGCACTTTGACCTAAAGAACGTACGCCACGATTTCAATAGGCCCGCGGGCGTTGCGGCCGCTCCGGGCGGGCGCATATCGAAAACCGGACGCAAAATTAGGTGAGAGGGCCCCCAGAAGCTCAGAAGCTCTGCCCAGATGCGTGCGATTAAATAAACATAAAAAAAAACAAACTTAAAACCTAAAAAAAGCAACCAAAAATCTAAACTTAATCTATCTAATCTATAAATCTACCTACCTACTACTATCTAATACTGTTTTTATTGAAAACCTAACTATTCGGAGCGAACCAAATTAATACTCTTAGTTCCGTTTAACTCTTCATTTGTCTCCTTTTGTTTCCTATTTATGTACGTTTTCCCCCTCGATTGCGATTTTCTGATTTCCGTTGTTTGGCATGTTGAATGTTCCATGAACACTAAACCTTACTACTTAATACTTACAACTCCACTCCTACTCCTAACTTGAAGTTAACTTTTAATCCTCCAGCACTGTCGTTCTAATTTTGAGTCCCGCGTTTGGAAGTTTTTTTCGTTCGTTTTTTGAGATTATTTTATTTTTTTGGCCGTTCGCAAGTCCCAGTGGTAAAAGAGATAACCACACAGTTAACCCCGACATTTGTTCGTACTGTACTCCCCATCTAACCTATATCCTGTATGTTTGTCCAAAGTGTTGTGAATGCCAGCAGAAAAACATACAGAAACATACTTTATGCCATTTTGAGGCTTCTAGGCAGACATCTCATGCATATTTCATTCAATTTTAGGCAATTTGCTGTTCAAGATAGCTTGAGAATAAATGGTAATAAATGAAGATCCCATAGGGGACTCTACTCTTCTCAGGGTGCCCATTTAAATGTTTGGGTTTGGTGTGGTTGCCCTTTTATTATTTATTCCACTCTCGACCTAAGACCTCCTTACATTTCTAATAAATACTTTGTCTAATACCCCTCGCTTGCTTTAATCCCTCATTTCATTGAACATTATTCCACATAACTGTGCTAAAAATCAAACCAATGAACTAGACTACAGTTTAGTGCACGTGTCTAACCGTCAAAATCGAATGTTGTGCCAACTCACCCATCGAAGCCGCCAAAGAAAACCTTAACTAATAAATGTCATCTTGATTCCATACAGCTATGTCGGACGCGCCTGCGGAGCCTCCACGGCCACCGGATCCAAGGCCCAGCACATCCGGGAGCTGAACGCGCTGCTCAACGATGCGATTTCGACCTAAGGAGCCTCTAGATTTCATAGTGATGTTCTCGGGGAGAAGGAGTGCCGGAGATGATGATGAATATTAATTACGATTATATTTTGTATTGAAACGTATGCAGACTCTTTGATACGATTTTTTGCTGACGAAATTGTTAAGAGCATTGTGTGAAAGTAATGAAATGTTAAATATTAGTTTAGTTAAATTACAAAGCAAACAGCAAACGTAAAAAAAAAAAACCGATATAACACAAAATGTTTAGTGTTTAGTAAAAAATGAAAAGAAGAAAAGCAAAAAAACTAAAACTAAATCAACTCAAACAAGTCTTTAATGCAAAACTAAAGATACCAGATCTAGTAAATCTGAAGAGAATGGATTGAAACGCAAAGAACGACGCATAGAGGGCTTGAGCCCTCGGATTTCGGATTGAATAAAACCCTTTATACTTTTATTTCTTATTTCTATGTTTAATATTTATTTTATTGTATTATATATAATTAAACTATCTCAAGATCTGCAAGCCACATCTTTGATCGCCAGCAGCCGGGTCAGAAATCAATTAGTGTTTTTTGTTTTTGCCTAAGTTACACACTTTTGTTTTAAAATTTAAATAAATGGACAAGTATAATTCTGAAACCATGAAACACCAACAGAGTTGTGCTTTAGTTCATCGCAGGGATATATCTTTTTTTGGAATGCATCTAAAATGTTTTTGGCCCTCTTGAATATATATTAAACTAAATAAATCAACAAATATTTAATATTAACATTGCACCTTGTCTCGCACCAATATAAGATATTGATTTGTAGAGTGATAAAGCTGAGGAATACTTTGGCCTTCAGCTGACTTTTCCAAGAAAGAAACTATTTTACGAGAGAGTATGTGTGTGCGACCTTGTCGAAAATCTAACTTTAATCTAACTCTACATTTTAATGTTATTAACAAAGAAAAACAAATCACAATTTTGCACCAAGTAAGTAAGTAGAATGTTGAAATCAAATATTACGCAAGAAGAAACACTCTTGATGAGCTCTGAGATCGGGAGAGTTTGAAGTTAATGTAAAATGTGGGGGACTAACATGATATAAAAGGAAATATACAATTTACTATATAAAGCATGGCACATATGGCGTTTTATTCTATAAGGAAAATGATGAACCTTTTATGGCCCGTGGCTGGGAAACCTGTTGTTGAGCCTCCGACAAGATTTTCAACAGGAAGTGGGCCGATGAGCAATTTCCATTTTCACAACTCGGCCATTCTTAGCCACTTTCACATGCTTCGGCCAAGATGTTCCACTCGGCTCCATCTTCCTGTCCCGACCACTTGGACACCACAAATTGGGCAGGCAACGTGGTGCTCACTTTTGGTCAATTTCCCCTCAGTTGACCAAGTTAGTTGGCTTTTTTCCCCGTTTCCCCTGCAAAAGCAATTTCATTGAACATCTTCGGCTGAGTTTTTGCCTCACATGCGCCTTACTTTCTAATGTTGACAGTATTTTTTCTCGAGATTGCGTTTTCTTCTGGCTCGGTTTCAGGTAATTGCCCAAAGTGTATCAGAATCGGCCACGACGTGTCTGGAATGCTTTATTATTATTTGTTGACTCAAGTAGTTTGCGTTTTTATGACTGTCTTGGCCAAAAACAATATTGCTACAAGAAATAAGTAGAGATAATGAAACATGTGATACTCTTTTTTATTTAAAGCTGTTTTAGGTAAACATTTTTTAGATAAGCTCTAAAAAATGTTCATGTTTGAAACTCAAGCTTTTCTAGTAAGTTGTAGAATAATAACAGGATGCATTATAAGATTTTTGATCATTTTTTTAGTTTTCAGCCACAAGAATTAAATAATCATTAATACAATAGGCAAGTATGGTTCATGTTCGAAAAGGGAACACTAGGCGTATGAGCTATTGTCCAATCAGCTTTAAAGACTTTTTCAAAGCCATACCTTTGAATTAAAATATTTTTTGTTGAAACAATTATATGCTTATCATTTGTTGGTTTTTTATAGGTATGTTCTTAAAATAAAATAGTTCTTTTATAGAAAAAGGTATTTAAGGGAATACGAGGCGTATGAGTTATTTTTAACGAAAATTAAAGAAACTCCAATTGCAAGGTACTGACTTTAAGGTACTGTTTTTCTTTATTTTTGTATATATTAGAATCATTATATATTGTTATACATTATATTATTGGTTAGATGTATTTTTAAAATCATATATTTATTTAATATAAAAATATATGAAAGAGAATACGGGGCGTATGATTAATATTTAAAGAACCTTTAAAAACCATACAAAAATGTCTTTTGTTGGCAAAATTTGGGCAAAGCAAATATAAGATAAAAATGACGACTCTTACCAATATCAGCTAACGTAAACCTGCACTATTTCAATTTAATTGAACAATTGTCTTGATAAAAACGTTATCAAGTCTTCAAGTTTGAAGCCCTTAGTTTCCTCACCTTTAGTACCAATGAAGGGAAACCCCTTGATAGGGTATAATTTTGTTTGGTTTTTTTTTATTGGTATAAAAAGTGTCAGAAAAATAAATAAAAACCAACAAAATGTGGAATTGGGGACGGCTGTCGTTTACCGCTTTAAGCAAAAATCTTCTCGGCCCTGCCGAAGAGCTGCGTGCACGGATCACCCGGTGCTGGGCCAGGCGGTAGCTCCTACGCCTTCGGGTGGTCTGACCCCCTGCCCCCCAGCGAACTCCAACCGCGACCGGACGACGGTGGTCGGTCGTCTGGTGTTGTTATTGTTATGGAACGGCGCTCTCACACGCTCTCGGCGGCGCTCCACTCCGGCCAGACAATACAATATCGTATCGGCCTCCGGTCTCCGGGCTCGGGGTCTCTGTGTCTCAGGCACCAGCGATCATACTCCGACGAGCTCCATCGGCGCGCGGTTCGGATCCGTTTTGGTTCGATTTACTTCACAAATAATTATTATCGAAACCGATTGAGTGGCGCGACGGTTGGTGTGATTGATTGCTGTCAGTGGTATATCTGCAGCTTGCCAAGAAAAGGAAATTAAAGAGTGTTATCAGAAAGAGAAATAAGAAAAGTAAAAGTGGAAATATGTGGCAAGTGGCTGGGGCCTGGTCCCCAAGTGGCAGCAACGGCAGCTTCTGCCGCGGAAAGTGTACAAAAGATTCGCCACCAAAAGGCCAAGATAAATAGCATTATAAATTGATAAAAACCGTCATAGTGATTTGTATATGAAAGCGTGAAAGATAATAATACCGGGTCTCATTCCTTATATAACAATTGAATTAGTCTACTATTTGCATATAAATAGAAGAAAGCGAAACGCTTCTGCGTGATTGATTTAAAACAACATTAAGTGCCAATATTGGAATTTTATTCGGATTATATTACAATGAACGGCCTCAAAATGTAAGTATCCGCTGCAAACAAAGCCATGATATGGCATGTACAAATTGCATTGGATTTTAATGCTGGAATAATAATATAAAAAACAATGCCTGATAAATGGAGGACTTATCAACAGTATTCTTGGAAAAATAATATATTTCCCTTTAGCTCTGAAAACGAGTCTCGGTTTGTGAGCTCTACCTCTTTATTTTTTATAACACTTCTCGATCTGGTCGATTTTTTTACTGCCATACGCCCTTCTTTGCCAATTTACGGCTTGGGTTGCCGTGCAGTTAGAAAGCTGCCAAAAGCAAATAAAGGTCGGGCTCTACTCTCTTTGAAAGTTGTTTATCTCACGGATTCAGGTTGGGGAATCGGAGGTAAAAAGTGAAAGACTGAAAGATTGATTCACATCGTGACGAAACCGAGTTCTATGAGTTTTCAACAATTATTACCTGCAAATTGAGGAAATCATAAAATACGCAGTGATTTCCTTTTTCTATTTTTAAACCAAGTTTAGTTTTTGTCTAAATAGATCTCCCCAAAGCCCTGTCCCTTTCTTTCAGTGCATTTGCGGTTCCCTCACCTGGTAGCTTACGCATATTTGTTTTTCGACCCAAAGCCTAGCCTTTGCTTACCTATGGACTTAAAGTGTTGCACTGCCCAGTTCCAGTTTTAGTTTTATTGCCACTCCAAGTCGGAGCCACCGTTAAAATTACAACAATTTCTTCCGGCCTTATTAAAAAGCAAATACTAGTTTGTACACACATTTGTGACGAGTGTACATATGCATGAATGTCTGTAATTCTGTAATGCCTGTGGAGTGAATTGAAGTGGCCTGGTCATGGCTTCCGTTTCGCTTTTGTCGTCAAAGAAGAAATCACCATAATAACTCTTTTAGTTATGCAGTCTGCGAAATTATCCGACATGATTATGCCCCACCCGTGGGGCGGCTGAGAAGGGGACTGTGGGGCAGGCCAAACACTTTCCATTTTCATTCACATGATCTCAGAGACCCCCGCGGAGCAGACCATCTTTTCGAGATCAGCTTCTTTGCATAACAATCGTTAGCTGTCTAAGTACTGGCCATATAATTAGAGCCCCACGCCCACTGCGGCCTCACACAAAATTATGCTGCGTGGGGGTAATTGTGAATTTGTATCTGACAGATACGAATAGATATCCCATAATTGTAAATTGTAGGTGCAGCTTACAGTCGCTGACAGCCCTGGTCGGAATGGAATTAGCTAAAGGCTCTCAGAAGGGGGACTTTTCCCTGGCATTCCACTGCTTCACAGATGGATGACTCATGGCCCAAAAACGAAACCAAGCTGATGCTGGTCAAAACCTGTAGCAGTCACTGCACAAAACTCGGCTTACTCACGTGGTCAAGTGGGCACTGAAAGAAATTAGCCAAAAGGACTTAAGTTATGGATCACTTTTCGTTCAATAGTTGACTTTAACTTGTGATTTATGCCTTTAATAAAAATTTTATAAATTCTGAAATGATTTATATATTTTCTTTAACACGTCACTGAAACTATGACAAATCTTGACTTTGGTCTTTCTCTGAGAAAATGCGTTGGCCAGTTACTGGGCGAATGCATTCGTCGTGCCAGCCATTGAACTTTGAAACTTCAGCATCAGCATTTATCACAAAAAACAGTAGACAAGGGTAACTTTAGACCAATCCGAAGTTGCGATACCCTTTTGAATTCTTCCTATATAAAAAAACTAAAATTTCTTTAGAAAATGAATAGCTTTTTTTAGGAAAAGAGCCTAACCAAATTTCTATAAAGGAGTTCCTTAACAATAAAACAATCTATAGAAATTTTGGCATAAAGATTGTGATGCAAATAAATACTATAGAACTCATGGATCAAAGGACGAATATAAGTCCTAAGTGTAACATTTGCTTCCAAGGAACACAGTTTTCTTTACTGACACTGTGGTCTTTACTGATACCCTCATATACATCCATCGCCATTAATACTCTCAGTAAGAGTATAACAAAAACAAATTGCATAAAAATAAATACGTCAAATCCTGAAGAAAACAACAATTGGAGAAACAAACACGTCATCGCCATTGCTGGCATACTTGATGACATTTTCAGTGGGAAAAGTGCACCGTAAATTATGTTGACTTAATCGATCGATCGATCGATTGGCGGAGCTGCGAATGCCAATGGAGCTGTCATCAGGTTTCAGCCTCAGCAGCAGGTTCTTTTCGGGGTCTGCCAATTTTTTTTTTGGGGCTTTGTGAAATTCCCCTCATTGATATGCATTGGGCATTTTGGCCCAATCGCAGGTCGTGCGACAATGATCCACAATCGTGCCATGTCAAGCATTCTATATGGTTCATTGCTGGCCAAACTATGTCACCCCGTTCGAGTGTGGGCGATGGATTGGAGGTGCTGAAAATAAATGGCAAGATTTAGCCAAGATCCCAGGTCTTATTTGGCCTAGAGAGTTCGTTGATCGAAGCTGAAAACAAACATGTGATGAGCCATCACTTGCCCATGAATAAGTGAAAATAACAGGTTTGCAAGATCACCGCAAGATCTTCGGGAGAAAGAAGTCCCCGGGGCATTTCCTCTAATGAGGCATAACCGCAAAATAAGCTGTGGGCTTTTATTTAACATATTTTTTAAATTAACAATATAAAATACACAAACAAAAATGCATTTAAAATGGTTGAAAGGTTTTAAGGTTTAAGATTCTAGGATGATTTATTTATAAACAATATTTATAAGATGTTAAGGCTTTTAGGATATCTAATTCTTTAAGCCTTTTCATATACTACCAACTTTCCCCTTTCAGCTAAAAATATTCCTCGATATGGGACTTTTTTTTATTTTTTATGATTAAACACGATTTTAGCCAACATGGTACGTGGTTTCAATTCAATTCGTAGCGAATCACGTTTTTGAGGGGCTGTGATGGGTAATCGAGAACCCGAAGACCCCTGGCAAGGCCATCTTCTAACCGGGGCTTTCTTCAAATCTTCAAATGCGCATTTTTTTTTTGCCAGATCTTTGCTACAGTTTTGGATCCGCTTGACAGGGCTGTTGCATGCCAGCCAGCACAGTTGGAACTGCTGATGACAGTTGGAAAGTGCTTCAAAATTTATTTTCTGCGCCCAGATTTCAGATCTCGTTTCAGGTTTCAGCTCTCACTGTACCCCCCCCAACAGTTGTACAATAAATTAAATAGACCAAAAAAAGCTACCAGCTAAGATATGGGCTTTTCTTAAGCCAAAAGTTTCGTCAGCTGAAATGGTAACGATAATTAAAGTTTTGCATTACAGCAGCTGCTGCTGATTAATGGGCATTGTTTCGCATACGCCCCGTTGCCCCACAGAAGCTGGGCCCTTCCCGAAAAAACGCCCTACAACTCAAAAACAAACAAAAATTAAAACGAAATCAGCCACTTAATGCAAATTACAGAGACAGATACAACCATACAGATACAGATGCAGATACAGTGGAGATATAGGAAAACAAGTGTCTGGCTGCGTATGGAAATGAAGTTGCCACATGTGGCAACCAAACAACTGGGTGGGGATATCATAAACATAAATAGCCACAGATGATGACGACTTGCAGTGAGGAAAATTATAGATACTTAAGATATCGAGATATAGAAAAATAAATGTATAGTTTGTTTAAGAAAAGTCTTTATATGATAAGCTTGGAAAAACTGTTATTTTCAGTTTTAAATTATTTATCTTTAGTTATTTTATTTGATTTTTTTCTTAGTGTAAATGATGCTATGCTCCAAGTACAAAGCGGTTGCACTGAGAACTCCATGTATGGGCGTTGTGTGTATTTTTTTTCTGTCGCTTTTTTATGGGTCTCCTCCACGTTGGCTGTTTTTTGCATCGCATTGAATGGAAATGAAAATGAAAACCAGGTTTGCAGGTCGCTGAGATTTTAGAGTTTTTCGTGTCCGCCGAAACTTTGCGAAATCCAAAAATTCCTTTTCATTTTGTGCCACTTCAGTTAACCCACTATTTTCTCACGATATATAAATACATAAATATTTATAAGTTAGTAGTTGGTAATGATAGTAAAAGTTTATAAACAAAGCAGATGAGCTTTAGAAGAAGGCAAAGGAAAGAATAATATTAAAATATATTTTAAAGTCTGTTTAGATTAAAAAAGGTTTTACGAAGTCTATCAAGACAGTAAATATTATTATATATTTTTCCATTACTGGCTTATATTACCCCATTGGCCTTTATAGGGTTAAATTACTGCCCATTAACAGCGACAAATGGTCACCCCAAAAGCACACCAGTTTTATTTTCAATTTGTTTTGGCTTTGCTTTTACTTTTGGGGCTTTTGTTTATTTATCTTTATTTACTTTTTGTGTGTGTTTGGGTTTGTTTTTTATTTTGTATTTTTTTTTTTATTTACTGACGGTCTCTGTTATTTTTGAAGCTGAACTTGGTAAAGAACTGGTATTGGTATTGAATTTCACAGAGCGATGCTCTCGAACCGGTTTCTGGCTAACAGCTTCTTAACCGATTCGTGCCGATTGATTGGCAGTGATTGAGCTATTTTATTTAGGGTATTGCAATATTCGTAGATCTCTCTCTCGTGTGGGAGAAGAAGATTCACGAGATGCCAGAAACCAGTTTCCGCTTCCCAGGCATTCAAAGTGATTTAACATTTTGTTCTTGTGGCGATGCCAATGCTTCAATGGGCCTGCCAAATCAATTAGAGGCGCTGCGACTTAATTAAAATTTGTGTTTGGCTAATTAAAAGCCATAAGAGTCAGTGTGAACGAACGCGCACAACGCGTGTTCTTTGTGGGCAGAAACTACGCTACAGATCCATTCCACAGCTATAGTCTTGAGCGCCTTTGTGGGTCGCATGCCTCTGGAGAAATGCAGTTTGCAGTCAACTGCAAAAAAGAAAAGGCAACAGCTACAGATACAGATACTCAGATACTTGGGGCGGGAGAATCAGAACAAAATGCAGCGCCAAAAGCCAATGCACAAGAATGCAATACAA